TTTCTCTATCTCAGCTATTGGAGCATTCTGGGTGTATTACTATATTTTCTCATAAATTTTGCGTGATTCAGGACCTAACTTCGAAGATGGTGATTGGAGCGGGTGAGCAGTTGGGGGGACTTTACTTCTTTCGAGGGGCAGTCACTGCGGCAGCTACTCGAGTGAAGACAATGTCCCCGGATTTGTGGCATCGACGAATGGGTCATCCTTCGTCCTCAGTTTTAGTTCAGTTTCCTTTTGTTAGCTCCAGTTCTTCGGTTTCCAATAAAGCCTGTGATATATGTTTTCGAGCTAAACACTCTCGGGCTAGCTTTCCTGTTAGTCGTAGTGTTAGCAGTGCTTGTTTTGATTTGATACATTGTGACTTGTGGGGTCCATATCGCGTTCCCACCTTTAATGGAGCACGGTATTTTTTAACTCTCGTCGACGATTATTCTCATGCCACATGGATTTATTTATTGAATGATAAAACTGCCGTTTCTAATACTTTTCTTGCTTTCTTTGCTTTGGTGAAAAGATAATTCGGTGCCTTAGTTAAGGTATTCCGTAGTGACAATGGTACTGAATTCACTTGTCTTCGGGATTATTTTTGTACCAACGGCATTATACACGAAACCTCCTGCGTCGGATCCCCTCAGCAAAATGGGCGAGTTGAGCGTAAGCATCAGCATATCCTTAATGTTGCTCGGGCCCTGCGTTTTCAAGCTCAACTTCCCCTTGAATTCTGGGGTCACTGTGTGCTTACTGCAGGCTATTTGATAAATCGTACTCCAACTCATGTTCTGTCTGGTAAGACTCCTTATGAAATCTTATATGATCGGCCTCCGCCCTATACTCATATTCGTGTCTTTGGATGTTTGTGCTACGTACATAATCAAAATCGTCATGGCGACAAGTTTGCGAGTCGGAGTAGAAAATGTATTTTCGTTGGTTACCCGGCTGGTCAGAAAGGGTGGTGTGTTTTTGACTTAGAGACGAAGTCTTTCTTCGTTTCTCGTGACGTAGAATTTTGCGAGTCTAAGTTTCCTTATATGGAGTCCTCTTCTCCTTCGCCATCTCCTGTTCATATTGACACTTGGCCTGTTGTGACGGACGATGATGATGCGACCCCGGTTGTGTCTAGAAGCCCTGCCCCGTCTAGTTCCGGGAATTCTGCTAGTGAGGAGGATAGGGGGGTCCGACTGTGTCTAGTGGACCTGCCCCGTCTAATTCTGGAAATTTTGCTACTGAGGAAAATAGAGGGAGTACCACTGAAAACTCCCAGGCGGAGTTACTTGGTCGCGGTCATCGGGTCAAGCATCGCTCTTCTCGGCTCACGGATTACGTTTCTCACACTATTTGTCCCTCGCTTTCACTTGCTGACTCCTCGGTTCCGTCATCATCCTCAGGTACTCTGTACCCTATTCCTCATTATGTTTCTTGTGATTCCTTCTCGCCAGGACATAAGACATTCTTGGCAGCTATAGTTTCTTCTACCGAACCTCAATCTTACTCAGAGGCAGTTCGGGATAGTCGTTGGCGTTCTGCCATGCAGCTCGAGATCAAAGCATTGGAAGACAATCATACTTGGGATGTCGTGTCCCTTCCTGAGGGCAAACATGCTATTGGGTGCAAATGGATCTTCCGCATCAAGTATCACTCTGATGGCACAGTTGAGCGGTATAAGGCTCGATTGGTAGTTCTTGGCAACCGTCAAATTGAAGGGATCGACTATCAGGAGACCTTTGCGCCCGTTGCTAAGATGGTCACTGTTCGTACGTTTTTGGCCGTTGCAGCGGCCCGACGCTGGGAAGTTCATCAGATGGACGTTCACAATGCCTTCTTGCACGACGATCTACAAGAGGAGGTCTACATGAAACTTCCTCCCGGTTTTTTCTCTCCACGCTCTGGTGATGTCTGCAAACTCAGGCGTTCTCTTTATGGCTTGAAACAAGCTCCTCGGTGTTGGTTCGCCAAGCTTGCACTGCTCTTAAGCATTATGGTTTCCAACAGTCGCTTTCGGATTATTCTTTATTTACTCTTCATCAGGACGGTATGGATTTGCAGGTTCTCGTTTATGTTGATGACTTGATTATTTCTGGAAGTGACCTGGCCACTATTGCGACCTTTAAGGATTATTTGGGTCCGTGCTTTCATATGAAGGATCTCGGCATTCTCAAATATTTTCTTGGCATTGAGGTCGCTCGGAATTCTTCTGGCATATTTTTATGTCAGCGGAAATATGCGCTTGACATTGTGGCCTGGTCTATTAGGTGGGAAACCAGCGGATTTTCCAATGGAACAGAACCATCAGCTTCCTTTGGCGGATGGTCCTTTGTTTTCTGACCCAGAGAAATACAGACGTTTGGTGGGCCGTCTGATTTACTTGGCGGTTACTCGTCCTGATCTCTCTTATGCGGTGCACATGCTTTCTCAGTTCATGCACCAGCCTCGTGAGGCTCACTGGGACGCTGCCCTGCGTGTAGTTCGTTATTTGAAGGGTACCTGGCCAAGGTATCCTTCTTCGGACCGATTGTGACTTACAACTTTATGGTTGGTGTGATTCTGATTGGGCAACCTGTCCTACTACTCGTCGGTCACTTACTGGTTGGTTTGTCCAACTTGGTAACTCTCATCTCTCTTGGCGAACCAAGAAGCAGCACACTGTCGCTCGATCTTCCGCTGAGGCCGAATACCGTGCAATGGCTACGCTTACGTGTGAACTAAAGTGGCTGAAAGGTTTACTTAAAAGTCTTGGTGTTAATCATTCTCAACCCATGCATCTTCATTGCGACAGTCAAGCCGCTCTACACATTGCGGCCAATCCTGTTTTCCATGAGCGCACCAAGCACATTGAAGTTGACTGCCACTTTCTTCGGGATGCCCTTGTCCAGGGTCTCATCTCTGCATCACATGTCTCCATTCATTCGCAACTCGCCGATATTTTTACAAAGGCCTTAGGCAAGCGCGAGTTTGATCATTTCTTTAGCAAGTTGGGCATTCGGAATCCTCATGCTCCAACTTGAGGGGGGGTGTTAATATAATTGTGTATTGGTATATTTAGAATTGTATTTTGGTAGTATATTTTCCTAATAGTAGATAACTTGCTTGACAAGTATTTCCTTATATTTCCTTAGGTCTTGTTGTATATATATGTGAGATAATAATATGAGAAGACACACCTTCCAAGTATTATACGGTCTTGACAATTAGAGCTGCGCGAGAGAGAGGCACTTCTTCATTAAAAAAAAATTAAATATATAACAAATGTAAACACACAAGTAAACACAGGAAATCCATATAATATCAAAAGCTCCATATAAATCAATTCATAAAAATTATTTTGCTTTTAATATTAATTAGAAAAATAAAAATACTTATCAATTAATATATAACACATGTAAGTCAAATAAGTAACAAGTGTCATTCGTCTAAAATATATAACAATATATATTTTGTAAAAAAAAGTAAATAAAATTTAAAATAATTTTTCTCATTAGTTTTAAAATTTAAGAATAATTTTTCAACAAGCTCCCGTGTAATAGTGTTGTACTAGTCTAAATATTAGACTAATATAAATTTTTTATATAAATATGTATACTTTATTACAAAATTATTATTTTTATAAAATTAAAAATATGATGTCTATTACATTTTCATTTACAATATATCCAAAAAGAAATTTTGTAAATCTAAATTTTCCACCTATTTATTACCATTTCACTAAAAATGGGTGGGATTATCTTGAAGATGAAGGCCTCAAAATATTTATACTCAGCCAAAAATAGAGACATCAAAGGAGAATAGGAGGGATAGAGAAGCATAGATGCGAGCGGCCGCTAACAAAATATAGTAATTGCAAGGTTGAATCCCAATATAATAAACCCAATAACTTACCGTTTACGTGCAGGAAAGAATAACTCAGTGCAGATAAATTCTTGTATTTTTCAGATAGTTTGATATTCAGAAAAAAAAGTTCTTCACTGGTGGGTCTTTCAGGATGTATTGATTATCTTTTCAATGTTCTTTTTTCGTTTGATCGATGACCATCTTTGGTGCCTTTTGATGCTAATCCCATCAGTTGCTCTTGAATTTCAGACGATTTTGTGTGGACTGGTTATGTGGGTTTATGCGTTGTCTTTCATTGTGAAAGAATCTTGATTGATATTGGGATGAAGATGAATTGCTGACGTCTTTCTGATTGTTGCAGTTTTGAGCGCAGAAATTTTCATGGGTCCCTTTGATTTTCATCAAATATGAATTTTGGTGGTAATTTGAAGTCAAGACAATGTTTTTATCCAAATTACCTCGAGGGGTCTTTGTTGTTGTTGTTGTTGTTGTTGTTGTTGTTTTTTGTTATTGATGTTACTTAGTAAATTTGACGAGCTTGCTTATGATCAAGATCTTTTTTATCACGAATTTGTTCGTGTTGAAGACTGAAAAAAAATAAATGATTGGAGTTACTTTGATAGTGATGCTGACCTTTGATTTCACAAAGATGCATCTCTGTACTGTTTGTGTTTGTTTCATATTGATTTACTATTATTATTATGTTATCTACTTTACGTGATTAACCAACGCTCTGGAATTTGTTTCTCCAGGAAGAATTGCAATCTTGCCGGGTGAATAAATGATTTCCTGGTTTTTCTCGTTGTATGACCGAGGAGGCAATGCTTATTATGCTACATTTTCTGCTGCTTATTCCGCATTGTGTTTGAGTTTAGCTGCTGGCTTGTCTGAAGGGTCTCCTGCTGGAATGTCTCCCCTATGTACTGATGATGGATAGACTAGATAGCACTTTGTCCATTACAAAATAAAGGGCCACATTCTTGAAATTCTGAAATGTTCGTCAATACAATGTCCCATTAGATCCACGTATGATCTTGATAGACTTTAGTGAAGAAATAAGTTTGGTTCTTTAGTTCACCTAATTTACTCTTCCAATAACCCTGAGTAGTTTGTGCTTTGAGTCGTAAACTTATAGACGAAACAAAAACCGATTAAGTGCTAATTTTAGGCACATGGGTCTGCCTCAATTTTCCTCGGGAAATTTATCTGAAGAAGTCTCAGCATCCACATTGATGCATGTACCCTCTCAGTTTGCGGGGCCGAGAGAAAGGCATGCACAAGAATCCGATTTAATCAGTTTGCATAGGGATGGTGTTGGAAATATGCATAAATTGAGAATTGACTCCATAGACATGAACCGCTTTTCTGCTCATCATGGTGTGAATAACGTTAACACTCCCGTTTCAAGAATTGTGGGTTTCGAGCCAAACGAGGGCCAAAACAAACAACCCAATAGCCTGTCTTTTGGAAATGGCACATCGAATTCAAGTTCATTGATCAGAAAACGACTGTTGTCTCCTTTGAATGGCATGTTGTTGCTGGACGAGTTTAGAGGCGAACATCTCGAAATCGGGAATGCGTTCAACCATAGTAGTTTAGGTTCGAACCTGAAAGAGTTTAAAAAGGCTCACATTGGAACCAATTTGCATCTAACCACAGACGGGCCTTTGTTCAATAATGGCTCAGCATTTTACGGTATGGCGTGCTGTAGTGGAACACTTGAGCCCTCCCTGAATAATTATAGCTCAGGAAATTTATCATTGTTACGGGACACGGTTTTTTCACCACCAATGTCTCTATCTCCTCTTGGGCCGAGAATTTGTGGGAGGACAAGAGGTTATAGAGAACTCGAGTTTGACGAGAGTATAATTTTTAAGGATGTGGAGCGATCCCTGGAGGTGACTGTTTCAGGCTTTCTTTCTTCTTGTGAAGTTGAAAATGGTGTCATTTTGAGGAAAGGACTTGAGGATAACGAGATGAACTTGGATCAGTCGATATCCGTTCATGTTCATAATCCAACACTTACTAGCCAAAGTGTCAAATTAGGCAAATCTTTGAGTGGATTATCTGTTAGAAGGTCACTGGTTGGTTCGTTTGAGGAGTCGCTGTTATCTGGTAGATTAGCTTCAGGGATAGTCAGCCAGGTGCCCCTTTTTTTTTAATTAAATTTTTGTACATTACAAATTCTCAATTAAGTTCCTCTTTATTTTCAGTACTTGAATGTGGTTCAAACGACTTGCAACCATTTTTTTTTTCGGGCACATCGCTTTTCTGCAGAAAATAGATGGTTTCTTGGCTGTGCTGAATATCACCGGAGAAAAATTTGCACCTCACCCGCAGAAGCTTCCATTTACCGTAACGAGTGTGGATGGTGATAATTGCTTGTTGTACTACTCGTCTATAGATCTGTCCAGAAGCGTATCTTCAAACAAATGTGAAGGTCCAAAATTAAAGAGAAGTCTCAGTGTTAACGGCTCCTCAGACGAGAAAGGCCGTCTTAGAATACCTATGAAAGGGCGGCTGCAATTGGTATGCTCTCTCTGACTGTCCCTTTATCTTTGCCCCTACAAAATAACACCAATGTTATTGCTGTTTTATTACAACAATGCCTTACCAAGTAGTCATTGGAGTTCAGATCATTTTTTGCGCATCTGCAGATTATGAAAGAAATCATAAATATCAGTTAGTTCATTCATAATGTATGCATCTATGTTGTTCTTTGGAATTAGGATTCGTATTCTGAGCTGTGATTTTGTGCATTAGATGTTCCTATTATGTTGATGTACTATTTCTTCAGTGCGACATGTACAATTTTGTGCGAATTGACTGGCCTTTTGTGGTTAAGTTGATGCAGTGAACATAACATGTATGAATCAGGAGAAAGGTAAATGTATCGTGTGTCAGCACATTATTTTCTTTACCTAGACTTTGATTGGATTCGTTAACTCTTCATGAACTTCGAGTGATTGGTATGAACAGACAATTTGACGTGTAAGGTAGACTTGATCAAGATAGGGTAGCTTAATTAGATTCTGAAGCACCCTTATGTAGACATAGGTATATATTGTTCTTTTGGATTGTTTTAGATAGACACGCTTTAAGATTAACCTCCTGTTCTTTTCCTTCTATTAAGTAGCTTTAGATTTATTAGATAGCCATTTGACTGGAGGATGATGGCTTCATCTGGCGTATGTCAGTTTTACATCTTATTGTAGGCAATGCTTTTGATATCGTTAATCTTGGTAAATTTGATAACTTTCCCTGAACGAAATTTCCGTTTGCCAATAACAACTTCTTAGTGTTAACTAATGATTTCTATAACAGATCCTAAGCAATCCCGAAAGAACACCAATCCACACTTTCTTTTGCAACTATGATTTGACTGATATGCCAGCTGGTACAAAGGTCAGTTTAACAAAAATCTCGTTTAAGTTGATCCAACTATTCATCCACTGCTTAATTCCTTGTCACAGTAAAAATCACAATCTCTTGATCCATTCATTTTATCGACTTGTTATTGAACCGATTCAGATTGGTGTTCCTTTTTCCCTCACATGCTCATATGTTTGGACTTATCAGACCTTTCTTCGCCAAAGGGCCACTTTAGGCGGACATAAAGTTTCTTGTGCAAAAAACAATGAGTCCCCACTTTCAACATCACATGAAACTTTATGTTCTGATAGTAATGATGCAAACGGCATCACATTCAATCTAAAAGAAGGTAAATCCATAAGTTTCCCGTCCAAGGTTAACAAGAGCACCACAGGTTCAGGTGTTCTACGTTATGCCCTTCACCTCCGTTTTGTGTGCCCACACAGCAAGAGGTGCTCAAAAACGGGTCTGAAGTACAATTCGGGCCCCAACTCTCTGCCTTCGAATAGCAGTATAGATTGTGAAGATCGACGCCGTTTTTACTTGTATAATGACATGAGAGTGGTTTTCCCTCAGCGCCATTCGGATTCAGACGAAGGCAAGGTATGCGCAAACTTTTATGTTATTGTGTTCTACTCGGTTTATAAGTTAGGCTATGTTTGGTAAACCTAGCTGATAAACTAGATTTTGTGAATTTCGAGCTTATGAGCTAGCGTATAGATTTTTTGGAATTTCGAGCTTATAGCTAAAAACTAGCTTATATGATAAAAGTGTTTGGTAGAATTAGCTGATAAGCTAGCTGAAATAAAAATTTCAATGGGCTTATTTGAAATGCTCGAGCATTTTAAAAAAGTTCGTCCTACCAAACACACTGACTTGAATTGAATACAAGAAGCTTACAACAGGAAGCTTATAAGATAATCAAAGAAGCTATAAGCTAGCTTATATGCTTACCGAACATAGACTTAGTAGTTTCGTAAATTGTAGAAAGGCATAGTTGTTCTCAAAATTGCAAATATGTCCTCCACGTTTGTTTTCTATTAAACGAACCCCACGTTTGAGTGGTGTGTTTGGTAAACAGATGAATCTTGAAGGGCATTTCGAATGGTTTTGGTCAGATAAAAGCTGCATTTTTTTTTCTTTCTCTTTGGAATTAGACACAGTCTTCTTGATCATTCACGTCTATTCAAGTGGTAGTCATTTTTCTAATGTGATAATGCAGATGCAAGTGGAGTATGATTACCCTTCGAACCCTAAATATTTCGACATAAGCCAATAACAGAGAAGATGCTCGGTTAGATGATTCTCTAGTTCAGTTCATCCGTACACATCTGTACTTATATTCCCTAGATGCTTTACAGATGGGTCATTTCGACCCGTTCGTGTAAATTTATGTGAATATATAATTACTCACCAAAATGTAGAATCAACATTTGTTTCGTCGGAAAGTAAAATAACCATTCAATTAATTAGTAAGAGATTTTTCCATTTTTTTTTTTCATTAAAGTTTGTCAAGTTTTATTTACTTAGCTTATGATGATGTTGCTCCTTATTGAGCAATGGCTTTGAGCTTTATGGTTTTACTTTTGTGTGCTCTCCGTATAGGGCTGCAAACGAGCCGAGCCGAGTCGAGTCGAGTATTAGCCTTATCGAGCATGATTGAATTTTTTTTAGTTGCTCGAGCTCCAGCTCGTCGCGCTCAATTTATGAGGCTCGAGCTTGAGTCGATAAGAAAAAACAAGCTCGAGCTCGACTCGAAAATTTTTAAGTGAAATTACCATTAAGCACGTGTGTTATACTATTTAAATATATATAAGTGGTGTTTCAGTAATTTAATTTATATATCGAGCCACTCGACAATGTAAAATATGGGTTCGAGCTCGACTCGAGTTCGTGCTCGAGCCGCTCGAGTTGAGCTTTGACTCGAGCGCTCGCGGCTCGACTCTTTTGCAGCCTTATCTCTGTATTTTGGTGAACTGAAGTGTTGTTAAGTAGCTCAATTTATTGCATGGATGTTTAGGTGTGAAAATGGAAAATTCATTTTTTGGTAAATTTGTTTGAGATTTCTAAAGACGTTGTAAGATTTTAGAAATGGTAGTGTTGTTAAGTAGCTGTGCTTTTTTCTCAATTTCGTAATAATTAGAAACTAGTATTAATACTCATGTACAATACGGGTGTTGAGTTAATAAATATATATGTAAAGTTATTTATGTCTAATACCAAATTTAACTTCAGAGTAAAAATAATATAAAAAAAAACAACATCACGAAGCATAGATTTTTGTCATGTCAGCATCCGAAGCGTGAGAATCTGCTACCTAAGCTCAACACGTTTTGAATTAATATATAAGAAGGGATTCATAATTTGTTCTTCAGCAATATTTTGAAGTGAAAACGGAGTATTGTAAACTTGCACCTTTGTTGAGTTTCTTCAAGGCTTTGGGCATTTGCAACAAAACAAAC